AGGGGGACAGCTTGAGGCTCTGTCTCAAAAAAAAAAAAAAAAAAAAAAAAGAAATACACGTTCCCAAGATTGAACATTTAGTTGTACCAAACTGTATATTAAGACATCATTTAAAAATTCAAAATAGGCCAATGTGGATGTGTTAATGTTCTGAGACCTTAAAACCCCTCAACAATTTACCATCACCTTAACTGTTCTAACACCACATCCTTAGGGGAAAGGGTAGGAATTGGGGGACTGATAGTATTATCTCTGCACTACACTCAAGCACCTGTCCAAACTGGGTGCTTGTGTCCAGTCTTTAAAATATGTAATGTTTTTTGATCCTAGTGTCATATCCTTTGCTATTAAAACAACAAAAACCACACGGGCACACAAAAAACTAGAACCAACTGAGAGTTCTGCTCTGAGTATTAGGCTACCTTCTTTACCTACTCACCTGCTGAACAAAAAAAGACCCCAAACCAAACAAATACACCCCACTCCACCCCCACAAAACCAAAACCCTTTCCCCATTTCCTCTGCTACCCATCTCAGGTTGGAACTTATGAACTAGCTCTGGACACCTGCCAAGGCTTGTTAAACCTGCCTCCACTCCTTGCTGATAGTCTTTCCCCACTCATTTGCCCTCAATACCACAACCCACCAGAGTAGGCTTCCTAGAACTTCACGGTCATTAAGGTACAAACTTACACATCACTTATTGCTCTGTTTACCTACAGAATAAAATTCAAATATTGGCATTCCAAAGTCCTCCAAAATCTGACATCCACTAGAGCAATTACGTAGGGATTTTCAGCTTTTATTTATTTCTTTTGGCCAGGGCCGGGTTTGAACCCACCACCTCCGGTATTTGGGGCCAGTGCCCTACTCCTTTGAGTCACAGGCGCCACCTGGATTTTCAGCTTTTAGTATGTCCTAAAATCTTTAAAATTTCTTCTTCAAGTATGTACTTTTTTCTGATTATAGAATAAATGATTTTAAAGTCCAAAATTCTAAAATATAAAGTATGAGATTTAACAAAACAGTTCCATTGCCTGGGAAGCCTCTCTTTTAAATGTCTCCCTTAAAATACTTGTTACACAAACAAAAACCAACACAGAAATAGACATAAACCGATATAATTTGGCCGGGCAAAGTGGCTGATGCCTATAATCCTAGCAAAGCTCAAGACCAACCTCAGCAAGAGCAAGACCCCAATTCCACTAGAAATAGATAAAACTAGCTGGCATTGTGACGGGCTCCCATGGCTCCAGCTACTCTGCAAACTGAATCAAGAGGATTGCTTGACTCTAAGAGTTTGAGGTTGCTGTGAGCTATGACATCAATGGCACTCTACCCAGGGTACAGAGAATGTCTCAAAAAAAAAAAATTTATACACACACACACACAATTCCTTATTAAACTGTTCAGAGGCAATGTCTCTATGTGGATTCTTCTAGAAATTTTTATACTATCTAGTATCTCCACCAGAGGGTAGAAGAGGTGAAAAGATGGAATGGTTATATTTGGTACTTTAACTATGGGCAAAAAAAGGTAGAGCTGAAGGTACAAAAACTGTAATAAAATTTTCACATATTTACAAACAAAGAGATACCTGGCCTAGTAAAATAATTTAAAATAATTATACTTCCATTTTCTAACATATTTATCAAAGCCACATATAATGGAAAAGTAGAAATTTTCGTTTTGTTTACTGATGTGTTCCAAACGCCTAGCTCATCAGAGCTATTCTGTCTATGGCTGAATCAGTGACATGCAGTAGGGTACTGCATACAGTATTTGAGAAAATATTACTATTACAAAATGCTGGAATCCCAATTTTGCCATGTTTTGGCTGTGAGACTTTGGCAAGTTCTTTAATTTCTGTGGCTCAGTTTCTTCATCGGTGGAACCCGGAGTGTTATGAAAATTAAATGAAATAAACAGAAAGCTCCATTAATAACAGAAAGTTTCTGTAACAGAGGAAGGGCTTAATATTTTTTTTAAAAGTTTTTTTAGATGCAAAGGCTATAAGAACAACTTTCTGTTTAGAACTTAAATGGTATAGCATGGAAAAAAAGTAACATGAATTATAAGCCAGACTTAAAAAATATTTTACCGAATTCCTATTTTATTTGAATGCATAAGATACTTTGGACAACTGACTTTCTTTTCATGGAAAAAGATGAAAAACCAAACAAGCCGGGTGCAGTGGCTCATACCTGTAATCCCAGCACTGTGGGAGCCTGAGGAGGGACAATCGCTGGAGCTCAGGAGTTCGAGACTTGCCTGAGGAAGAGTGAGATTCCCAACTCACAGGAAAAAAATGGAAAAACCCAGCCAGTCACCACAGTAAGCACTTGTAATCCCAGTGGCTTCCAGAGGCTGAGGCAACGGGATGCCCACAAGCTGGTGTCTGAAGTTGCAGTGAGCTACCAAGCCACTGCACTCTGCTCAGGGGCACAGGGTGGGACTCAGTCTCAACAACAAGAAGTTAAGAAATAAAAAATAAGCAACGAAATAAAATAAAAAATCAAAAAAAAAAAAAAAAAAAAAAAAAAAAA